GAGCATTGTCGTGATGGAGGTGCCAATTTCCTGTTGACCACAACTCCGGTCTCTTGTGCCGCACAGCATTACGTAGGCGATGGGGACATCCCTTTAGTACTCTTTGGTGATTGTTTGACCCTGTGGTGCGTACTCATGGTGTACCACACCGTGGGAGTCAAAGAAACAGTCAGCATCACTTTGACGTTGCTGCGCACTTGGTGGGCCTTCTTTGGTCTTGGTGACGTGGAATGCTTCCAACGTGACGACTGGGATTTAGTTTCCGGGTCGTACCCGTACACCCAAGACTCGTCACCAGTGATTATGGTGTTCATGAAGTCGGGGTCACTGTTTGTGGAGTCCAGCATGTCCTGTGAGACTTCAACACGAAGTTCCTTTTGCTCCGCCGTAAGCAGCTTCGGCACGAATTTCGCCGCCACTCTCTTCATAGCTAATTCTTCGGTCATAATGGAATTTGCTGAAAAAGTGCTGATGCCCACCTCTTCCACAATTTCTCGGATAGTCACACGACGGTCCCGCATCACCATAGCGTTCACTTTGGCAATGACCTGGTCATTTCGGGATGTTGATGGCCGACCGAGCGTGGCTCGCTCTCCACCGTTGTGCGGCCGTCTTTAAACCGGTTGTACCACTCCTTAATCTGTGTGATGCCCATAGCATCGTCACCGAAAGCCGTCTGAATCTTCCGAATGGTTTCCACCTTGCTGTCGCCCAGTTTCTGGGCAAAATTTGATGCAGTAGCGCTGCTCCAGTCATTCCGTCATTTTCCTTGCAATGAAAAACCGACGAGAGCACTGCACACTACCTCACTCAATGGCTGCTTGCCAACAACTGACGCAATCAACAAGCGGGAAAAAATTCACACATGCGCACGAAGGTTCAAGGTCGGCTCATGCAAGCGCGCTTGATTCAAATCCATCAGGTTATCGAAAAATAAATAAGGTCGGATACTTTTCTCACAGTCTTCGTATATGGTATTTTTGAAATTTTATGTGTATTATTCATGTGTTAAGGAAGACACATCTAAGCTCTGTATCTATAACACAGATACCTATGTCAAGTTGTCCCTTGTTTCATCAAATGGTCAGGAGATTTCAAGAAGCAAAACATCGATACGACGAGGTCAACCAAACCCACTGTTCAAAGAAACCTTTGTGTTTCAGGTGAGTTAAAAATGAGCTATACATTTTTTTCGTTAGTTTATGATTCCAAACTGGAAATAAATTTAAACTATAAATTTTAATGTTTTCAAGCATATAGAAATCAACTAGTTTTATTTTGTGTAAAACTTGAATTTTATTTCATTTCTTAAAAAACACACTACTGTTTTTTTTTTCTCTACTTCAGACTGGGAAATAGGCTGTAACTAGTTTTGATCAGCCTTCAGGATATTATTCTAAGTGCTAAAGTGCAGGAATTGTACATGTAGCCCTTAGGTTTCAGTTAGCTACTTTTATATTTTTAATTTAGAATTAAGTGTCGTATTCTTACCTTCGACATAATGTGGCATTTTTAGTAGTATTTAACCCTTTCGTGATGTGCTCGGTATAAAATACACAAGTTCATATACACATTTGCACATGTTAAGTATTTATACTATAACTTTTAATGCAGTATGTGTATATTTACAAAATTTGGTAGACTTTTAGTAAACATTACAAGTCTTTTGTACACAGAAAATCAGAATTTTTAATGAAGTATTTTTCCTAAATATTTGTTTGTGAATATATCGAGTCTGTTTTATTACCAGTCCGAGTGCAAAATGATTTCCATGTTATGATTTAAAAAATTATTCTTCGTACCAAAAGTTTCAAATATCAGTTGTGTAATCTTTATAACCTCCTAAATACATTTCAAATGTTTTTTTTTTCATTAAACTATATTTCAATACGATACTTCCATTCACTCACAAAATTAGCTATTCTCATCCAGTGCTGCCCTCTATATGCATTTTTTTCTTTTGCGTATGCCACTAGCCTTCTGCTCCCCCCTATTGGAATCAAATGATTCCAACATGTCTCTCATGTAAATTATCATGTGTCACTTCTCCACCAATAGGAATGTGACATACTCATGTGATGCATGTGACTTCCTCTATACGCTTCTACTGAACTATCACTTCTCTTTTGGCAGCGCTTGTGCATGGACATGTTCCTTTTTGTTTGTTTAAAGTTTCATGTTCATCTTTAGTATACTCACGAAGTGGTCTTCAATTATTTTCACTAGTTTCTATTAAAACTGTTTCTTAACTTCACTTTAATCCACCTTATTACAGTATCGTTGTTTATACTTTTGATTATTGATTGACTCTTCCTCATTGTGAACTCCGAAGGTCATGTCACCACATCGGGTGTCACACCTGCAACTAGTGCTATGTCTCAGGCCTTGGGTGCGGGTGGCCTGGTGGGGGATTATCTGTGTTTATTTGCCGGGAGATTGAACATTACATGGGTCAACCTCTGTCTCCGGACCTCGCCCCACTTCCTCCTGAACAAGTTGAGCTTGTTCAGGCATACAAGGACTTGAATCGTCTATTTCCACCTCCTGATTTTGTCATGCCTTCCCCTGCCTTGCCTGAGGAGTCAGTTAGGCCCAATATGGTCCTTTTGGATTTCGTTTCTCAAGTGTGTGACATTTTATTCCTTTCCCCTATTTCCTATGAATTGCATCCTTCCTTACTACATGACCAATCTTCCCATCCCTGTTTGTTTTTTTTCCTCTCCCCAGATAATCGGGTACATGCTGACCAATTTGCCTCATAACTGATGGGATTAGCATGCCTCTCCCCCACAGGCTTCAGATCAGTTTGCTCTTGCATATCATCATGCAGACTGTTCTTTTCTGGACCTGCAATTGTTAGGTTCAATTTTGTCTATTTGGGTGGTGGCCCCGAATCTCCTGTAACTCTGGCCCATACCCAATTTTCCCACCTTTGTCTCACCCTCACAACTCTTTGTGGTATCTCTATATCACCCATCTCCTCTCTGAGGCTCTCCACTGAAATCCTGAGGGGTTTTCTGGGGGACATCCTCTCCCTTCTTTCCTCCACATTGGTTCGTTTGTCGTCTTCGGCTCTGGCTTTACATAAATGGTTTCTCTGTTGTTGGGACCTTCTAGGTCATGATGTGACCTTAACTTCCATCTGTTTACTATCATCTTATCTTCGGAATCTACATATGGCCCCATTTCTGTGGCAATACATCTTTGACATGATCCCTGTGTCTTTGGAATCATGAGTTGCATCAGTACAACAACAGTCTACCTTTTCCAACCTTGTTGCCCGTTTATCTCAGTCAGAGCTCAATATGGCACCTGTTACCATTTCCCATCCCCCCTTCCCAACCCTTACTTGTCCCTTCTTCTTGGAATGCCTCGTCTTGTCATTTTCTTCAAGGATGCTCATCACATCGCCAACAGTATTGGTGACTACCCAGTGGGTTCTGATCTGGTGGGAGCTTGGATTGCCGATTTTCTTCATTATTGGCATCCTTTTATCAAAGATCATTGGGTTCTTCAAGTTTTATTGGAAGGATTTGTAATCCTGTTTTTTTTCCCACCTCCCGTATCTCCTATACCCATTTCCTTCCCTCCACCTCGAGATCTCATGACCAGCCAGCATCTGTTGGATGGTAGTTCAGGAACTACTATCTCAGCAGGCCATTGAACCTGTTCTACATCCTTCACCAGGTTTCTATTCCAGGATCTTTGTTGTTTCCAAGAAAACTGGGGACTGGAGGCCTGTCATCGATTTGTTCTGCTTCATTCAAGTGCCCCATTTTACCATGGTGCCATTTCTCACCCTATGGTGGGCACCTTCTCCGGGCTTATGGATGACCAAGATGGACATTGCCAATGCTTATCTCCACATCCCTATATCACCATGGATCTCTTCCATATTTTCGATTCATCCATTGTGGGATGGTTTATCAATTTTGCACCCTACCCTTTCGAGCTTGCTTCCACCCCTTATGTTTTCTGTCAGGTGGTCAGAGCTTTTGCTTGGCATCGTCATGCTCTGGGGTTGCAATTCCACCATTATTAGGATGAGTGGCTTCTTCTGGCTCATTATGAACTGGAGTCAGCCAGCCATACTTGTCAGCTCCTATTAGTGGATGCTCAGGTAGGCTGGTTAATAAAATTGGAGAAGTCCTTCCTCCGACCTACCCAATATCTCGTCCACTTGGGTGTCTTTTTTGACATTCATCTCAGTCAGACCTAACCTTCTCCTCTACGACATTATTCCATGGAACTGTTATTCTGCTTGCAAGGTTCTATCGCTTTTTGGGAATGTGGTCTTCAATGACATCACTGATCCATCTCGGTTTTGAGCATATGCGATCCCTTCATTGGGCTCTTCATGATCAATGGAACCTTGCTCAGGATCCCTTGTCAGCTCCCATTACCCTTCTTCCTACCCTGGTAGACAATCTGAATTGGTGGTTGAACAAGGCCCATATGTCAGTGGGCATACCTTCGTTCAGATTTGCATTTTTTTACAGATGCATCTCTTCAGGGCTGGTGTGCATGGGTCAATCACTAGGGGGCTTTAAGTTGTTGGTCTGTAGATGAAAGGTCTTTGCTTATCAACATCCTCAAGCTTCTCATGGTCTATTGGGATCTGAATCACTTCCTTCCTCTCACCAGACATTGTCTGGTGGTGATTCATTCCAAGAATTCTATGGCGGAAGCACATATCAATCACCAAGGGGGCACCCAGTCAAGAGATATGTTTTCGACCATTGGATCTACTGTATTGGGCCCACGTGCACCACATTCACCTCAATGAGTGTCATGTTCCAGGTGCTTTCAATCTTGTAGCGGATTGTCTTTCCTGCCCTGACCCAATATATCCAATAGAGTAGTCTTTTAGATCCCCCTCATTTTCCAGTGGCTTTGCAGTTGGTGGGTTTTTCCCTACATAGATGCATTTGCCACTTACCGCAATCACAAGTTACCTCTCTTTTGGTCCCTGATACCTCAGGCTCAGGATGTCGTTGCCTTCAGCCAGGATTGGTCCCACAAGTTCTTTTATGTTTATCCTCCTATCACCCAATTACTTCATCGGGTGATCTGTCTCATCCATACCACTCAGTGTTGAGTTCTTCTGATCAATCATTATTGGCAAGCTGAACCATGGTTTCCACGAATAAAACAACTGCAACTTTTCCCTCCAGTACCTCTTCCTTTGTCTCCCTCTTATCTTCGTAAACCTCGGTCACCAGTTCTACATCTAGCCCTTCACACCTGGTTTTTATCTGAGCCTTGGCAAAGAGACCAGGTGTCTCCCATCGAGTAGCTTTTTTAGCTCTTTATATATGTCCTTCTTCAACAGAGGTGTATCAATGCAAGTGGAAAGTGTTCCATAATTGGTCTGCAACTTGGAGATTCCCCGCTGACTGAACTACTATGGCTTGATTGTTAGAGTTTCTCACATGGCTTTCCAATTGGGGAGGGCCTTTGGTCTTCTTGCTCTCGAGTTATCAGACTGCCTTATCCCATACCTTTCCTTTTTCCCGATGCTGTTGAGTTTTTGCTTTCCCTCTCTTACGATGTTAATGTGTTCCTTCCGGATTTGTCAATCCCCTCAGATGGCCTACTTTCCAGACTGGGATATTAATGTGGTCCTCCATTCCCTCACTTTACCTCCATTTGAACCACTTTCCTCATGTTCCATGTTTCCCTTAAAATGTATTTTCTTCTCTTAGCCTGTGGACGTCGAAGGTCTGATTTGTTTGTCAATTGATATTTCATGTATGCTTTACCACGTTATCTCTCTTCTCCTTTATCCAGATCCTTCCTTCCTTCCCAAAAACCTCAGCAGCTAGGGAGGGTAACTCCTCCTTTTCACCTATTTCTCATCTCTACCCTGTCTTGATACTGATAGACTTATATGTCTGGTCCTTACTCTTTGTTGTTATATTGCCCACACAGCTTCCTTCCATGGTACCCATTCCCGATTCTTTATCCCTTGGCAGTCTTGCTCTATTTGGGATCTTCCCCTTCTACCCTCAGCTATTGAACTCGACTTTTGATTTGATTGGCTTATTCCTTCTTCTTCCTCCCAGAATTTGTTCCAGGTGTCTTCTCATCAGATTTGACACCTCACCTTTTCTCTCGATTCTTGTCTTCATCAGACATTGGAAGAAATCCTGCAGTCAGGCAT